CCCCCCCCCCCCTTTAATTCGTATTGTGATCTTTAATTAAATCGTATTTCCACTTTACAAACCGTTATCTTATAGTTGAAAGAAGAATCTTTCACCCTAGGATCAGAGGTTAATGTCTTCAAGACAAAACGGATAAGAAACGAGAAAAGCCCCGAGAGCTCTGTCTAAGCCAAAAGCGAAGAATTCGAAGAAGTCACAAACTAAGTGTAGCCTGGCAGTCATGTGTACGACATAACCCGTTAGACAGGATAATCAGCAGAAGAAGAAAGGCAGCATGGTGAACGCTGGCCGCACTAAAATACCATTACTCGACAGTGAGCTGCCCATGAGGATGAACAAAGACCTGTCAGATCTAGCCGTGCAACCCGTTATGACCTACGCCGCTGAATGTCCGGGTGTCATTAAAGCTGAACAAACGAATGGTCGAGCAAAGAGCGATGAAGCAAAAAAATGGGTAGTGTCCGTCCAAAATCAAGTTCTGAGCACACAAATTGGACAAGGGCTGGATTAACAGACGTAAATTCTGCCTTTTACGACGAAGGGTCGAGTGGCTCACCTGGGAAACAACCGGCGGACGTAAATAATTATAATCAGTTTCGTTGAACCACCAACATGGAGTCGGCCGTTCAAGAACACGGCGAGATGACTAGATGGTCGGCGATGGAGGCAGGAAGTAGAGAAGAGAGAATATTGTAGCAACCAAGGAGTTCGTGGAACAACCATAACGAGGATAAGTCGAATAACGGAAAAACAATATTTTAGTCAGTTCATGTTCAAGGCATAAGTAAGGAAAGCACTACTTTCTGCAATATCATATTCTGAGAATATTAACAGACAAGTGACCTGCAAAAGAACTGGTTTACATGCCGGATGAACTTTCAAAGACGCAGTGCATATTAGATTGGTATGACCGAAAGGCGGAAAAAATCCGGCCAGGAAAAGAGTATAGCTAGCGGATGAAAAGACCGTTCTGTAAACAAAACAATGTCATGGGAAAGCTGCACGCAATCTACAGTGTTCAAACAAAATCTTAGATCAGAACACCATCATAACCGATCAATTAATACAGGACTCGACGGCAACTTTATAGAGATGATTGCATCTATGACGGAATCAGCGATCACGATCTTCATCCTAGCTTGAATTTACCGTTAAGGAAATCACCCGTGTCATTTTTCAGATGTTTTTGTGCTTTCTTCTCCTTTCACCATCCTTTGCAGTTGTAA